GGCAGTGGAAGGACTCTCAGTCCTGGGTGACTGGACCCCATGAAGACCATTTCACAGGAAAGACTTCATGTTTCTGACACAGGTGAGGAGCCTACAACTAGGCTGAGCAACCATTTGATATACCTGGGACCCAGGAGGCATTTGGGAGTCTTGGCTTTCAGTTTTAAAACCAGCAAAGTCTTGGGAAAACTGGGATGAGTGGGTCACTACCTAAGGCCTTTAGTCTTAGGTAGGGTATATCTTCGCCCAGCAGCAAAATTGTATGGCACCTAACTCGTACTCAACTCAAACCTAAAGCTGTAGTATGCTGTCGCGGCCTTGCACAGTCCACCAAAGACAGGATATTTAGCAGGATCTACCCTTGCTTACCCACTTGCCTCTATAGGGTCCCCTCCTCCCCATCTCAAGCCTTATCTGTACCCTTGAGTCATGTCTCCCACTTCTCCACTTTCCCCACATCCCCTCCTTTGAGCACTGAGGTGACTAATAGCAATTTCTCCAACCCTGTGGAGGTTTCTTTCCTCCCACCAGAAATACGGAAAACTTTCCCTTATTCTCCAGTGTGCCCTCAGGGCCCAAGGGGCCATGTGAACTATAGGATTTGATATCTGTACTTGCCCTAGGAGCCAAAGGTCTGCCCTGTGACTGTCACATCCTGGCTGTTAGTGGCCCTGCTGCCACCTGTCTTTTGAGCATCATTTTGCTCTGTGGACCTCGTTGTGCCACCTCAACCAATTCATGTTAAAACTTAACCTCCAGAGTGATGGTATTTCAAATCAGGGGCTTTAGGAGGCAGTGAAGTCATGAAAAGAGTCAGTGCTCTTTTGAAAAGGACCCCAGGGATCCTCACTCCATCCTCCTGTCCTGGGAGGACAGGGTGGTAAGGCACAGGACATGAACTAAGAAGATCCCCTTACTAAATAGACACAGCAGTGGCTGACTTTTTGATTTTAGATTTTCTAGCCTCCACAGCTATGATCAAATTTCTGTTGTTCCTACGTTTCCTAATTTATAGTATTTTGTTACAGCAACCCAAATGAACCAAGACACTCTCCTTTGGGGACACAAAGTCCAACTAGCAGACACAGCAATATGGAAGGCAGGCTGAATTGGTTATGTTTTTAAATAGCAGCTAATATAGAAATATTCTCATCTCTATAGCCATGCAGATGTACTTGGATACTGTAGAGAACCTTGGTCCCTTAGAAGCCTTAGCTTTCCCACTTGAAGACTAACTTTTAAATAAGTACAGTTTAAAAATATAAAGGGCGAGCCAGGTGTGGTGGCGCACGCCTGTAGTCCCAGCACGTGGAGGCAGAGGCAGGTGGATCTCTGTGAGTTCGAGCCCAGCCTGGTCTACATAGTGAGTTCCAGGACAGCTGGGGCTAAGGGAAACCCTGTCTCAAAAAGACCAAAAAAAAGAGGGGGGGCAGGAGAGACTACTTAGCAGTCAAGAGCACTTACTGCTCCTGCTGAAGACCAAGGTTTGGTTCCCAGCACCCACGTGGGAAGGCTCACAAACACCTGTAACTCCAGTTCCAGGATCTCCATTGCCCTCTTCTGTCCTCTGTGGGCACTGCATGTACATGGTGCACATGCAAATAAGCAGGTACACACACATACACAGAAACAAAAATAAATACAAATTAAAAATAAACAAATATAAGGGAAAGGACCAAGGAAGAAAGACAATTCTTTGGTAGAACCTTCAATTCTTCCTAGAACCTTCAATTTGAGCATGCATCAGAAGTCCCTGCAGGGCTTCTCAGAATACTGATTGCAGGGGGCTCTGCCCCAGAGGATCTGCTTCAGTAGGTCTGTGGTGGGAGCCTGCATTTCTAACAGGTTCTGAGGGAGGTGGATGCTGCTATTCCATAGCCCGCACTCTGAGAAATGCTCACACTCTGAGGAACCTGCTAGAATAGAGCATTCACTCCAGTTAACTCATAGGAAACATGTCAACATGCCCAAACCATGCCTTGGATGCATGGATTTCTCTTAGAAGTCTGTCTAAGTCACAACGGCTTCACTGCTATAAAAGTATCTATTAGCTATGTTCTGAAGAGAATGCTATTTGTGGAGGACTCTAACAAGAAGCCTTTCCCGGGCTCCCTCCTTGCATTCGTGCAACCACTCTGTCCCATTCTCTGTGCCCTAGAACATTATCCAAACAGACACCCCTCCAACCCATGGGACAATGCAGAGACCCCTTTTCTCTTTACCAGGTGGTCTGCCTGAAGGCCTCTGTCAGAGGGCCCTGAAAGCTGTCACTGAGGCAGAGACACAGGAGGTCATCCATACACATTGAGTAAATACATGTAAACACTCAAAGCACACAAACACTCTCAGTCTGGCAGAGCCAAGGCATCTTTCTCCACATAACTATGTCCAATTTAATTTGCACTCCTATAGGCTTACTGCTGGCAGCTATTCAATCTGTAGAGCTCTGAACAAACCTAAGCTTTCACGGGGCTGCTCGGCTAGTTTCCACCTGTCTTTGGTGGGTGAGGCCATGGCATACAGCCTGCTCTTTCCCCTCCATTCTCCATATGTCTCAGGGCCCTTGCCTGGCATTTGCCAGGACTTTGTTTTTTGTCTCTAATACTCTACTGTCCACCTACTCTCTACTACAGCTGCAGGCTTTCTGACCTTTATTCTAGAGCATCCTTTTCCTGGACCAGACAGTGCACCTTTGCTGTAGAAATCACATATAGCATCCTGATTTAGGAAACTGTCTTTTGATCTAGGTTTCTTGAGTACTCACATTCCTGAGCCCTCAGTTTATTCCGTCAATGGCAACTGGAAGCTCAGTTTTCACAAAGGCGGGCAGTTTTGACTAGATGCAACTAAGGAGAAACCTTAGCCATTTGGCATGACACAACAGCAGCTATCTGTTCCATCTGCCAGGTTTAGTTACCAGCCTTGAAGCCAAAAAAGAAATGGGTTTCTTGGAAACAAAAGTGACGGAATTTGAGTTGTGAATTATATAACCCACTAGTGTTCCTCAGACTATGTCAGGTTACTTTAAAACGAAAGAAAGTTCTTAAGACAAAGAAATGAACCAAGAAACATCACAACCCCCACCTCCATAATCCCACCCAGCCCTTGTAGCTCCTTCCTACTTCTGAGAATGGTGCAGGCCCTTCCTTTCCTCCATCTCTAGCCCAAGACTTTAACAAGCACTGTAGCTTTAAGAGCAGGAAGGTGTCGTTTTAAGGGCCGAGGGAGCCCCCCTTCTCAATTTCTGTTCAGAGCTGAGATCACATCCCCCACTGCAGCCAAGGGACAAAAGCCATTTATCAACCCATCTGATAAAACTTCCAATGGGCTGGATCTTTATTTGGACCAACCAAGATGAACACAAATGGCAAGTGCCTGATTCTCTAAAAGGGAGATTTCTTTTATTATTTTAATTCTTGGGAAGGAATAAGTCTTTTGGCCCTCTCAGTCCTCACATTTAGGTGGAGAAACTGACATTTCAAGGAATGCGGTGCAGAGAAGATAGTCCTCCTGCTGGGCCCATGGTTTTGGTATTTCTAGGGTGTATGGAGGCATGAGGGCTCTTTGGGGACACTAACACCCCCTTCTCCAAGTGAACCGGAGCTGCAGAGCAGGTTTTGAAGATCTGGGATGCTGGGACTCAGCTGCTGAGGGGAACTGGGAGACTTTGGCTGTGCAGGCACCGCGGGCCCCGAAGCAGGGCTGAGACATGGTAAACTGATCCCTTGCCCCATACTGCTTGCTGTGTACGTGGTTTGCCCGTTGGGAATACCAACTGGCGGCCAGGCCTAGCCTGGACTGCCCAGTTCTGCCAGTTCCTTGAAACCTAGTTGGCTGGAGAAGCAATCAAAACAACCCAATCCGAGTCCTAACTCAAGTCCTTTCTTGCAAATCTCAGCTGTGCGTAGAGGCTGCAGAACCACATCTGACCGTGCTGGGAGACAAGCTGGAATTTTTGCTAAAAGACACCTTTGAACCCCCACCACCCCCAACACAATGGAAACGGCCGGGAGATCCCGCCTTACACGGAGGACCATTTGGCCGTGACACTGTGTTTATTTATATTTTGAAAAGAAGAAGAAAAAAAAGTGGAAAGAGTTTAACTGGCCTTTTCAGGCTGTGCACAGCATATGGTAAAAATGGAATAAAAGTTTTATGAAACATTATAAAGAAAACAAACCGGGAATTTAAGTTTCGTGCCTTCCCCCTCCCCCTCAAAGGGGGAGAAAAAGTAAAGAAACCGGAGCGTTTGGGAAGGAACAAACGCTTCTCTGTGGAGTTGGTCTCCCTTCCCCCAACAAAAACAAGAGGTCCGGGCTCCGAGGAATTTGAAAGCAGTGATCTGCCAAAAACATTGTGAAAAACTATGGGGGATTCATTGGAAACAGATGGGCTTTTTCAGCTTTAATTCTGAAATTTTCTCGCTTTCTGGCACAATAAAAACAAACAGGGGGCCGACGCGGAATGTTATCAAACAGGAATTACACGCTCGTCTGAATCGGGTTCGTGGGATTTCCTGCGTGGGCCAGATGCATGGAGCGGGATGGGGTCCCCCGGAGGCGGTGGCCGGGGACTCGGGTGGGGCCTCCCTGGCACCCTCAGCATCACCCCTGGGCGACTGGCAGGTTTACAAACTGGTGGGCGAGGAGCTGGAGAAAGTGCCGGGGTAGTGAGTTGGTGCCTCCCCTTCCCCTCTGCTCTGGAGTCCCTAAGAGGCGTGCGGGGCACCTCTCGGAGGGAAGGAGGGGAGGATAGAGAGGCACCCCGGGCCCGGCAGATCTCCCCTCCTGCCCTTGCGCTTCGCAGCTCTGGCGGGGGTCCCTTCACTCCATCGCGCCCTGCGCGGGGCATGGGACAAAGACTCGTGGAAATGGGAATGAGGTCCCCGGAGGGCTGGCGAACTGGAGCCCGGACGCGCCCGCGGACACGAGGCCGGGTATCGGGGAAATCCCAGAGTCGGCCGTGCCGGCAGTCCCCTCCGCCAGGGAGCTGTGCCTTACCTGCCGGGAAGCTGCAGAGAAGGAAGGCGAGGGTCGGCCAGAATCCCAGGGCTGAGCGTCCTGCCCCTCTCCCCATACCCATCCATCCAGCTCGGCCTGTTACCACTAGCCTCTCCCTGGAAGAAGAGTTTAGAAGGAGAAAAACATCAATCACGCTGCGGAGAAGAGGCAGCCTCGCTCCGCCGGCGGGACCAGCGAGCCGGGAGGCTCGGTCCACCTCGGCAGCGGGCGCCGGGCGTCCCCCACCTCGCCGCTCGGCCCCGCGCCCCGCCCTCGCCATCCATCACTCACTTCCCGGCCAATGTCGCCGCGGCCCCGCTGCCCGCTGCCGCGCTCCCCGCCCTCTCGAGCTCGAGTTTCAGCCCGGCCCACGGGAGGGGGTGGGGAGAGGCTGCCCCTGCGGCCGGGCTGCTGCGCCGGCCCCGGGAACTAGTGGCCCACGAGCGCAGGGCGGGTCCCCGGCCCGGAGACCTTACGGAGACTCCCCACGCAGCAGACACCCGGCACACCCACCCAAGCGGCTAAAGCAGCGCGCCCCTTTAATCCTCCTCCATCAACATCCCATCCAAGAAGAAAAAGCTTGGCGACAAACCCCAGCCTCCCTTTCCAGCCAGACTACCGCCCCCAAACCGCGTCCGACGCCCCTTGACTCATTTTTCTCATATGTTTTCCTGGTGCGGGAGGCTGAAAATTTTCCTTCCGAGTTGTCCGAGTCTGGGAGGGACGCAGCCTCGAGTGCAGCCACTGCCGCACTTCAAGTACCACCCAACCTTACTCTGCTCGGCCCCACTCTCGCTCCATCTCTAAGCACCATGTTGCTTCCCGAAGACTTGCCCGGGTTCACAACTCAAATCTTGTCCCGGAACTGAGGCATTGCCGACTGTCAACCCCTAAGGAGACGTGGAAACTTTGCCCCCGGGACGTACGGGGCCGGTTCGTCTGGCGTTGGGGCAGAGGCGCTCCCAAGGCCCATCTTGGGAGGGCTTTAGGGTGGTGACCTCCCTGAATGACTCTTCCCCAAAGTTCCCTAGGCCCCGTAGCTCTTCTATCTTCTGGTGTTTAAGGAACTGGCAACTTCCCCTGGGAAACATCTTCTGTATGAAACACAAATAGGCCAGAGCAAGTGTTTTCAATCAAATGGATTCCTTCCTCTCCTCCCTCCCCCTCCCCCAAGCCTGCCCATCTGGTTCTTTGGGGAAAATTATTTTTGGGGTTTGATCCAATTTCACTTAAGACTACCAGAGTTCGAGCTTGCAGGCCACACAAGCTGCAGGGTTATATCTGCTGCAGGAGGGGAACCTAGGGGTGAGGCTGTGAGGGAAGGGATGGAGGCTCTAGGTCGTGAGGTCACATCCCGGCAGGCTGGCGGCAGCACAACTTCAGTCAGGCTTTCCTTAAGCAGGTGAGAAAGGGGGCTAATTTCTCAGCCTCCGGTGCAGCCATAGGCTGCTGTTTCCTTTGGTCAAAAAGGCCATGGAGTCAAGCTGTTGTCCTTTTCAGCTGGGGTGCCCCTGAATTCCTCTCAAATATTTAAATTTCAGACTAACAGGCTCCGCCTAATTATTGTTGCCTTAAATTGGGGTTGCAAAGTGCAGTGTACAAAAATGTAGGTTTCTCTTGAGAGGGTTCACTATCTCAAAACCCAAATGGTTTTCCTTCCAAGCATGGCCAGCCTTGGGCCAGACCCAACAACTGTGCAGTATCACAGCATAGCTGTTATTTTAGTAGTGCTGGCATACTGGGACAGGCCTAGAGCCAGACTGCCCAGAGGCTCTGGTTATCCTTTCCACCCCTCCTTTACACTCCTAAGGTGCAGCAATTAACACCATTTGCTGTAATCTAACTTTCAAGAGCTTCTTCTAAGCCTCTAGATAATGAGAGATCTATTAGCATTTTCAGCAGTCCAGGCCACTGCATCTCCAGAGTCAGAGACCCTACAGCCCTCAGAAGACAGGGAGAAGTGACCCTCCGGCCCTGCCCTTGCCCCAGTGGACTTTGGCAGCAAGATTTTCACCATAACACCTGTTTCTCTGTGTGGAAGGGCCAGGCTAATACTGTCACTTAAGATGGCAACTGAATACAACTTTCAGGAGTTATACGCCCTGGGACTTCTGCAGCATCTCTGCTAGGGAGTCATCGTCATTGTAGGAGACTTAAGGGTTTTTGTTGTTGTTTTTTGGTCTTTTTGAGACAGGGTCTCCCTGTAGCCCCAGCTGACCGACCTGGAACTTGCTATGTAGACCAGGTTGGCCTTGAACTCACAGAGATCTCCCTGTCTCTGCATCCCAAATGCTGGGATTAAAGGAGTGCACCACCCAGCCTGGCAAGACTCAAGTTTTATAAGTTTTAAGGTACAAACAAATAATTTGGAAAAAGACCACAAAGGACCCCTGCCCCATGAGACGTGTGAAAACTGAATCTGGACACCCCTAGTGATGGGTAGGATTTGATCATTACAAAATTTAGACTAACAAGATAAATCCAGTCCCAGATAGGGTAGTGTAGAGGCACTATCTACATTGGCCAAACCAGTCAACATATTGATATTCTCTAACTCTACAGACGGGAGAAATTCTTAAAATGGATTTTGGGATTTAGTGTTCCATGTACCATATAAATTTGCTTAACTGGAAGTACAGCTGCTTCTAACAAATAGAGTTTGACCACTTCTCCCCAAGGTTTGGTTCTAGGTCTCAGGACAGAGTCCTTATGCCTGGCTTGGGCTCCCTTTCTCCAACTCTGGCTGTGGGGGCTCCACGCTAAGCTCAGTCCCTTCTCTCCCTCTCCTTCCTGTGAGAGCTGAGGCTTCTAAAGGAAGGGCCCAGAAGGAAGCATTCCCAGAGGCAGAGCTGAGCAGGGGACTCCAACTGTGCCTGCTTCTGGGTATGAATAGCATTCTCAGATCCTGGGCTAGAGCCCTCAGCCAGTAAATGTTTGTTCATGATGGGCTGTGTGCTGGTCCCCAAGGGATAAAGAAGACAGTTCCCTCAGAGCGTGGAAATGGAATGTTCTTCCAAAGGTCCATGGGTTAAAGGAATGGTCCCCAGGGTGGGGCTTTAGGAAGTAGAGTCTAGTGGTCCCTAGGGTCACTGGGGGCATGTCTTTGAAGGGGATTATGGACCCTGACCCTTTTCTTTTCCTCTTTTGCTCCCTGGTCATGAGGTAAGCAACTGATGATGCCACCATTGCCATTCAGCATGTCCTCCCTAGTTATGGACTGGAAACTCCAAAACTGTGAGCCAAGGCAACCCCTCCCCCCATTTTTTCCTCTCTCTCTCTTTCCTTTTTTTTTTTTTTTGAGTCTGAAAACTAATGGTCATTTATTTGAACAATTTTACTATGCTTCATATCAGATCCCTCATCCCCACCTGCATGGTCACCTGTCTGGCAAATCACCATGAGCTCCTACCTGCAGTTTTTTGGCAGACTCTCCCTAGTCCCAGATACTCCTTGATGAACACTGAAGGAAGCTGCCCTGGATGGAGGACAGAGACACCTCAGACACGTGTGGTTCCACAGTCCCTCCCTACTTCCACAGCCTTATCTCACAGCATTCCAGCCACCTCATCATGCATTCTTCTTTCTTACCCCAGGGCACTTGTTTCTACCTGGTATCACCTCCTTCACATAATCTTCTCAACCCCTGGTTTAAATTAGGTCTCTCCAAACTCCACTTTTCCACTACAGTGTTCAGTGGATGCATTCCAGTATCTTTATAAGTTAATAATCTTGGTTGTTTTGTGATTGTGAAGGAAAGCTAACACAACTTCTATGTTTGAATTGAGGTTAAACAAAGACTCGAGAACAGTGATTGGGAGAAGAAGTGAACAACTTTAACAAAAAGGTGCATATTTTAAGGTGTCCTGAAGGGTTTGCTTTTAGTGATCATGGCTAATATTTTGATTTGTTCTTATACTGGGTCTGTGCTGGTTTACATTTCTAGAAACTTTCAGCTAAGATAGGTTTGATGATTGTCCTTGTGCAGGTGAGGAACCTGAGGCTGGGTGAGCATTAGTATTCACCCAACTATTGGCTAGTAAGCACACATTTGAGTTCTCCAAATCCCATGCTTTGCATACTACATGGGCATTAGTGATGGTGAGCAAGTTCATACTGGGCTGAGTCAAGGCAGGACATCTTAGTTACAGTGATTTTCAGTAAAGCATAACACATCTGACAGGGAGATACAAACCACAGATACCTGGGCCTCCTGTCCAGCTGGAGTGAGTGTGGAGGATGGGGGGAGATCGAGGGGGGCATGGGAAGGGTTCCGGGTAAGAGGAATGACATCCTGCACAGAAGGATGGCTGGTGTGAGGATTTGCAAAAACTGGAGAATGACCATAGGAGAGAGTGATGAGGATGTAGGAGAAAGAAGAGCTTGGGGAAGACTGTGAAGCACCTGGGAGCCTGACCCACATTCAAGAGTTTCTTCTTTGGACAGACTACCCTGGAGGGGATGGTTACAGACTACATATGCCTTCAAAGCAAAGCACTGGAATTTTACCCTGAGAGTTCAGAAGACCCCACCTAAGTTAATCAGTTTATCCTCTTGGGTTGAAAGTCAAAGCAAAACCAGTAATAGTCAATAAAATAGACCTGGGCTAATCAGAATCTTTCCTGAAATGGTTGCTGTCTCTGATGCTCAAGAAATTTTATCTCCTAAATGAGATGTGAATAATGGATTGAGATGATGAGCTTAGGGGTAGCCATCTTGGGGAGGGGGTGAGTATTTGGGCAGAGGCTGTTTTCAGAGCTTCAGAATTGTTTTCATTGAAGTTGAATTTAGCTGGTGAGCTTTGTGGGGGCTGATGGAGATTTTCAGCACTCAGGCTTCAGCATGTGAAGACCCCCTTCAGGGTTCCTTTAGTTCTTTTGAGCAATGCCATTACCTATTTCAGCTATGGCAACCAATGAAGCTCCTCATTTGATGGGCACAACTCTTAGTTTAGACCTCGCTCACCTATACCAACAGACCCCCCAGTTATAGAGGAAGCGAATGGTTAACATTGGTCCCAGGTACTTTTGCTAACCTCAGATGTGTGGACATATTGCCAATGACTCTCAATCTATTATTCACATCTCATTTAGGAGATAAAATTTCTTGCTCATCCTCC